ATTCTGAAATTTTTAGTATTTATTTAGATTTTTTTTTTTTTTTCATTGCTGACGTCAACAAACCCATACTATTTTTGCCTTTGGGCCTACCTAGGCTTGTGGAGCCCATGAACTGCCCGAGCAGCTTAAGCTCGCGGGAACCATGAAACGGGGCTTAGGCCCCTCCTACCCTGGCAAGGGCTGCACGATGGAAGTGCTCTAAAGGGAGAGATTCCATTCCTCAGCAAGGAAGCCAGATATGCCTTTCCAAGAATACGAGGCCCAAGGAATTAACATATGTGTTGGTAGTCTCTGGAATTGTATCCACAAGACTCCAAACATACGTGTTGGTTGTCTTATATATTGGTGTCATACATTTACATTATGAGTAATGCTAGTCATACCGCATTTGTATATTACATTATATACCGGAACTCACAAAAACAATAGGACACATTCCTATCAAGGAGGTGGTACACAATATAGCATACATATATGATATGACTAGCATTTTTATTATTTTTGTCTCTGTTTTTTCTGTTACAGAGAGGCAAATCGATGCGTCGTTTCAGCATGCACTGAGAATTATATGTTGTATCTGGCGAGGCTTTTGCGTTTTCTGGTTTGGTGGATTTGTCCATCCTTGCCATTTGCTTATGAGCTCTCTCTCTCTCTCTCTCTCTCTCTCTCTCTCTCTATTAGACTAGCTCGATTTCACATAAACATATCCTAATCTGAGTTTAATTAATGGGGAAACTAATTTACACCCGCTTTGATCACCATCTTCTTCTCACTCACTCACATGTATACAAACTGAATTATATACGAAAGAGCAAGAGTTGGTTGTTGGTGTCACGAATCACTATAGGTAATAATTTGCTTATGTTAGTATACTAATATTATACAATACAAACAAACCAAGTATCTCAAATTGCATGAAGCAAACTCCATTTCAAGCTCTAGTCTAGTGAAAGTAAAGATGAAGCCAACCCCATGCCAATTGCCATGCTTATGGCTATTTTTAAGGTTTGCAACACGACGCCTGCAACAGCCCAGAACAAATGGACCATCATGCTGATGGCATCTGTGTTTTCCAAAATGCCAGATGATCCATCCTAAACCTAGTTAGCTGAATTAGCACATGCCTGCTTATAAAGGAAAGGCTCATGCTATGCCAAACAAATTTTCATCACTTCAGGCCAACCTTGGTATGGCATGCTTCAATTGATTGGCTTCAAAGTCAGTGATATATTATACATTCAGGCCAAACAAATCAAAATTCAGAGGAATCATATTGAAAAACCAAAAACCATTGGCTTGCTTGCTCGCCTTAAACCAAAGTAAAACCAATCCAGTTTGCATCATCACTCTCCACCGTTATAATTAGAACTAGAACAATCATTTGAAAACCAATGTAAACTTCTTCATACCTACTACCAAAAGCAAATTAAAATTTCCTAGTTTCAAGAGCTGACCAATAGTCAGTCTCCAAGGGGACCACACTCCATCTTCTTTGGTTTCTCTTATTTGACATCCTCTTGGGGCAATCCTTTCATTTAATTACAGAGTTAACAAATTGTAGCACACAAGCAGCTATCAAAATTTTAATATATTTTTCTTTACTCCATTTATTTTGATCTCTGCCTCTCTCATATCTAAGTCAACTTGTTCCTCACTGCATACAAAATTAGTGTGTGCTGCAAATTCTGCTTATAAATAATTTCATTATCATTACTCTTCAGGGATAATTGTCGAAATGTCACCTGAACTTATATCTCAATTTCAATTTGTCACCTTAAAGAAAAATTTAAGAGAACTATCACCTTAATTTTTCAAAATCCATGATTTGTCATTTGACTTTAATACCATCCAATTTTCCATCAATTTTTAAGGATATTTTAGTCTTTCCATTTTCAATAAAAAAATATAGAGAAAAGAGAGACCTCTCTCTCCCTTTCTCCCCTACTCCAACCCCCATGTATAAATTTTTTTTATAATGATTTTTCCATTTTCAAAATACCCTTGAAAATGGAAATGACTAAAATACCCTTACAAATGGGTGGAAAATTGGATAGTGTTAAAGTCAGATGACAAATCATGGATTTTGAATAATTAAGGTAACATTTCTCTTAAATTTTTCTTTAAGGCGACAAATTGAAAATGAGGTATAAGTTCAGGTGACATGTCTACAAAAATCCCTTACTCCTAAATATAATTCAAATTAAAACTCCAAGGTGTAATTATACCTGTGTAACCATGAAGACAATCCACTCAGACTGCTATATCTTGTATTCATGTAAATGAGTAAATCAAAGATATGATCAAATATTCTCAAATTAAATTGAAATCACAAAGTTGAAGGGACAAACGAGTCATGGGTCATACTAAAATTGCACAAACAACAAACTTAACTTAATGGACAAGGTCATCATCTCTACCAATTGAGACAGTTAGTTACACTAACCTCCTATTCGCTTTACAGACCCTTTACCTCTTATGTGCTCCTCATCCTCTCTAACAGGTACATGAGCAAGGATTTCTCAACTTTGGAGCACTGGCGGCTGCGGAGCTTCAAAAGTAAATGGGGCACTAATGTCCATGGCTGCAAGCCCTTCTAATTCTTGGATTGCGGCAATGGCACTAACTTCGCTTTCGTTATTTAAACAAGGTTTTAGTGCACCAACAGCTTGCCCCACTTTAAATTGCTGCAAATGACATAGAAACAGAATAAAGACACTAGCAAAGTCAACAGCGGGAAATGCAGTCATATTCAATGAAAAACTAATTTGAAAATTATTCAACTTACAAAGTATTCAAGTTTCCTCTTAAACTCTCCATTGGCAACCGCTTGAGAGTCAGGTGCTTCAGTTGTTGTCACTAATGCATTCTTTTAACCGAAATAGAAAAGAAAATGGCAACAAATTCCAAGTAAGTAAAGCAGCGGGAGTATAATAATATTACTACACATGAGACATGAACGAAGAAAAGTCTCGTAATTTTGCTTTCCTAAAAACAAAACAAAAAATTAGGTATTTTGGACTGAAAAAGAATGCAGACTTGATTAAGGGAAATTTCACTAAAACAATTAAGTTCAAAATCAGATTAAACTTTTACATAAGCATTGATAATTCTTATGGATCGTCTTCCTTGCCAATTTCAATTCTTTCTATTTTACCCTTTAACTCTCTCCGCATTTTGTTAATATGTATATTTTCATCCAATTCTTATGTTCATTTCGGAAACTAAATACTGCCTTAATATCTTTTGAATTAAATAATTCTGCAATTCATTTTCTTACTAAATTACAAAGTACAAATCCACTAGCCAGTAGCACCTAACCCCTGGAAAACAAATCATTCTATGATTATCCTTTCGCTGTTGCCATACATCAGTAGGTTTACTTAGTTGTAACGCAAGCTTATATCTAGTTAGTTAGTTTCTCAAAACAATATTTTCCTCCGCTAGAGAATACAAGTGCCAGACGAAACAACTACACAAGGTTTGTTTACTAGGAGATTCAGAGAACAGAATTACCTTCTTGGGCCTGCCCACTGGCCTTCCAGTACTTCTCTTCGGCCGTTCCATTCCAGGCAGCCCAGGCGGTCGGCCCCGCTTCCCGGGCACTAAGCCACCAACACGAACAGCAGCAGCCGCATCCTTCTTCTTGGGCCGCCCTCTGGGCCTTGGTAGCGATTGTTGTGGCCCGACCACATTGGGCACGTTGTTCTGCTCAAATGCTCCCATTATAGGGACATTGGTAGCGTACGGGAAGAAGACGCTCTTGGGCTCAGCTTTGGAGGGGCGTCCCCGGCCCCTCTTCACGAGGCCGTTGGGGCCCACAACAGCGGATACAGACTTTGGCTTCGGAGGACGCCCTGGCCTCTTCTTCGGCAACCTCGGCCCTGGCGGGCGACCCCGGCCCCTCTTGGCGGACACAGAGCCACCACCAGCTTGCCCGATCCCAGCACCCACAACCTTACGTGGACGACCTGGGCGCCTTTTCACCGACGCTGCTGGCTCGTCAACCAGTCCAAGAGCAACAAGCATGGGCTGCGAATTTTGCTGTATGGTGGGCTCGGGGAAGGCCTGAAAATGGGGGTGTTGCTGTATAGTGGGCTGCTGGGGAACGGGAACAGGTTCTTGTAAGCTGGGCTGCTGGGGAATGGGAATGGATTGTTGTAAATTGGGCTGCTGGAGAATGTGAATGGGTTGTTGTAAATTGGGCTGCTGGAGAATGGGTATGGATTGTTGGAAAGTAGGCTGCTGAGGAATGGGTGCTTGTAAACTGGGCTGGTCAAGGATGGGCTTGGTTTTGGGAGGGCGGCCACGGCCTCTTGAGGGCCCAGCAGACGGAAGAGCTGTGGTGGCAGTGGCAGCAGCAGCTGACGCATTAGGAAGCGGAAGGGAAGCATCAGATCTAGGGAGCTTGTAAGACTTCTTGACCATAACGAGGAGACCATTGCTCTTCAAGCGCTTGAGATGGTGGGTCAACAAGGCTGAGTGAGTGGTTGGGAGGCCCGAGTAGGCTCGCTCTATGTACTTAGCTATAGCCCTCTTGCTAGACCCGTCCTTCTCCTTGAGCGCTGCTATGGCTGCATATATCATCTGCACCCAAAAAAGTAAAAACAAAAAGAAAATCAAAACAAAAAGAAGATAAAGGTTAGAGCTTTGCTGAAATGGTAGATGAGTTGTGTATTTAGTAAATTACCTCAGCATAAGGAGGGTGATTGGAAGTAGGGTTTGGAGGAGGAGTGGGGTTAGCCGCTACATGGGTGGTGGCGATGTTATTTTGATCTTCAGTAGCGAGGGGAGTGATGGCTGGGCCGGCGGAGACGATGGCGGTTGCAGTGGTGGCGATGGGCGGTGGATAAGGATGTGGAGTTGGATATGGAGGTGGGGGTGGGTCCATAGATTTAGAGAGAGAGAGAGAGACGAAATTTTTAAAGGGGTAGGTTTGGGGTTGGACTTGGGTAGCTTGGGTCGCTTGGGTCTTGAGTCTTGAGAAGGGTAAGGGATAAGTGAATTTTGTTTTGGACAGGGGAGGAGAGGAGGGGAGGGGAGGAGAGGAGATGATGATGATGGTTGATGGGATCGGGAGCGTGTGAGAGGGTGGGTAGTTTAATCGGACCGTCGAGAATGATTCATGTATTCGTGCTTCGTTATGTGACGTGGACCTTCTCTGTCTTTTTCCTTTTTTATATTATTTCTTCTTTATTCATAAATATCTACATAAGTCATTGCTTTTGCAGCTGCGTCCTTATCATTTAAGCACATTTCTATAAAGGGCTCTTATGATCTTATCCTTAACCCCCCCGTGTTTTGTGAATTGAATATTTTCCTTCTTTTTTCCTTCTACCGCTTGTAAGTTGTATCTTTCTTGTGTGCTCATAGGCTCATTGGGAAGGAAATGCAACTAGCCAGTTAAAGGTATTTTAATTATATGAGTTGACAAACAAAACTAGTATATAATTTCATAACATTTCATAAAGTCATTGTTCAAAATAGGTTTGGATCTCATTTAGATCATAATTGAAGAAGTTAAGTTGATAGATTAAGCAAACTGAAAATGAAGTATGTCTTGTTGAATAAGGAGCAACCTCTATTTGGCGTATACTACCATTATATTATATTTGGACCATTTGAACTAAATTGTGGCGTTGGCGTTGTACATTTCTTAGTTTAAGCAGTCTAATCCTAGCAAAACTAAAGCCTCATGCAAGTTTTCCAATAAGATATAGTAACACTTCTCCGTATAACGCATGCTAGCAACCTACATTTACTACTAACAACAAATTAACAATTACGCCAATCCTATATAGCCTTATTGACTTATTGTTAAGCAATAATACACTTGACTTATTGCCCACCGGATTGGCTTATCTCATGGGTGAACTTAACAACTTCCTTTCTTAAAAAACACAGAAGCTTTTAAAGGAGGTTTATTACTACTTCTTCAAGGTGCGTAAGGGGTAATTAATGGGTAAATTGATACCAGACACATTTTTTTATAACTGCGCGATACCGGCTGGTGTTTTGATTACACATATGATATTAAGAAATGTTAATTAGGTCTTCTCCAAGTCAAGCGAAACCCATTAATGAAAACAGTAAAGAACGAATTTCTTGCAATCATTAGCTTTTAATCCAAAACTTCAGCACTTAATGAAAGTTTCGGCAAATGCTACAGCCTCCCAACAAGTGGTTCATTCATTTACAAATTGTGCTATTTAAAATATTTGACTTTAAAAATTATGCTAAACCAAATATGCAGCAGAGTCAGTCAGCAGACATTTTGAGAATACTTTTTCTGCGGGGTGGGGTGGGAATTCAGAACTTATGAAGTCCTTTCAAGTGGGCCCCTAACTGCACATTTTATCTTCCGAATGCATGATTCTATTCTATATCTATATTCTATAGAGAGGAGAGGAGGACAAATGGCGTTGATATGGGATAGGAAAAGGGAGGGATGCAACAGCAACACCCCTCAACCTCAACTCGAGAAGATTGTTGAACTAGCTTCATCCAAACGAACGCACCCACCGTCCATGTCCATGTCCATGGACGAAAACGAAATGAACAAGATCCACGCCTGCCTTCGAAATACATACATGCACTTGGACACCCCAGATCACCCGCCTTACTCACAGGTAAGATAAAGATACCCACATTTATTAATGTTCAAAAACTTATATATTAATGTATAAATAATAGTCCCTCTCTTTTTGTTTCATTTCATCTATATATATATTTATTAGTTTATTTATACACACACTCTGTAATAAATCGCAGATGATATTTAAAGCCATTAACTCACTGAATTATGAGGAAGGTGGTGCAAACAAAGCTGCTATATCCGCCTATATTAAGTCAGAGTTCCATGATCTGGCTTGGGCTCATGAGAGCCTTCTCTCTCACCATCTTGGCAAGCTCCTTGAGAGAGGTGAGTTGGTTACTTCTCCTAGCACCGGTGATTATCAGCTTCCAAAACCATTGTTATTGGCACATGAAGATTTGGATCCATCAAAGCATGCTCGGGGACGGGGGCGGCGAGGAAGGCCACCAAAACCGAAACGAGGAAACAAGGAAAACATGACTAAGAGAGAATCATTGTCTTTGCGTGAGCAAAGGAAAAAGCAAGGAATTAACAAGGTAAGTGTGGAGGAGGATGGAAACCCCAAAAAAAGGAGAGGAAGGCCTCCCAAGAAATTAATAAGTGACAATCATCCATTGGGCAGTTTTTGAGAATTGGAAGGACCTAATGCAAAGGAAAAGTAGGCATGTGACACTTGACATGCACCCAATTAGATAAAGCATGATTAGTTAACTTACCATTACTCCAAATAAATACTTAGAAGACCTATAACGATTATTATTTTTCTTTTTGAAAAATTATTACCCTTTACCTTTACCTATAATGTTGACACATCTTGTCATCTTGGCAATTTGGCAACTACTCTTTACCGATAATGTTGACAAGGCATCGCCCCCAACGTGGATATACACGTTGCTGGAGCAAAGAAAAACCCTAAAAGTAAGTGGAAAATGGAAAGAAAGGCAGAGTTAGAATAGACGGATTCTTCCTTTTCCCCCCTCTGCTTATTGACAACTCCAAATCAGGGAAATTTAGTTGGCAACAGTCAAACATCTCTTCTCAATACACAGCGTATAAACTGCTGGCAATCCAGTTGTCCCACTTGATCAATAATAATACCTTTGAATTTGTTGAATGGATCATGTATTTGCGTTGTAAGAGTCTTTAAGCCATTATAGAAACGTTTGACCACTGGTTTCAATCAATCACACCCTTTACATTTATCTTCAAATTATACACTCAATAATAAGTTATTTTTTAGTACAAGAAAGTAATAGTCTAAACTAAACTACAAGAGTACAAGAGAGAGGGATTTCTCACACACACAAAACTATGATGTTGTGGGAATTCGAACATGAAATCTCTAATATGCAAGTCAATGTTATTTTTAACTGGACTAGACCCCGTTGACACACTCAATAATAAGTTATAAGTGTGAAGCACGAAGATTGATTGGTGATTTACCAAAAATAAAAATAAAAATCAAGCTTAATATGTTGAGTACGACCTAAGATTTGTTGTAATGAATCAAAATTTGATATAGAATTGTAGTGGTTTGGAGTAATTGCTCCTCCATGCAAGGTTATGGGTTTGAGTCATAACATCAGTGTAGTGTGTGTAAGTTTAATATATTATCGCCACTCTCAATACAAAATGTCCCAAAAAAAAAGAAAAAAAAATCAAAAAGCCATATAGACCATGCCGTGAGGAAGTAAGACATGTATTATTGCATTTATATGATATCCACAACGAAAGCCCATCTCCCAAAATGCAAACTTGTTAAACTCCCTTTCCTTACGAAGTCCATAAATCTGCCCATCTGATCAAACTCACCCTGTCTCTCTCTCCGACCATTGAACCCGAAAGAAAACCCGAGAAAAAGAGAGTGGCAGATGGCAAACCCAGAGAGAAAATAGCGAGTGAGAGAGAGAGAGAGAGAGAGCGGGCAATGCTGCAGTTGTGTGGCTGTGAATCATCAAAGGCTAAAAGGGGCAGAGTATATGGGGAGTGGAGCTACTCTGGTGGAGGGTGTTCGTCGCTGGTTTCAACGTCGCTCTTCTTCCACTTCTACAACTATTAATACTAATCCAAATAATAATTCAAAGCAACCCAGTAATAGTAATTATAGCAGAAACAACTTTATCAATGATCACAATGATGCCCACGTCTGTGTCTCCGATTTAAGCGCCCAATCGCCCACTTCTCACCAACGGGAACAAAAGCAAGACCAAGAGTACCAGCTTCAGTTTGAGGTTGAGGACGACTTTGACATATCTGGATTGAAGCTCATCTCAGTTCCCAAGCGGGCCAACTTCAGAGCTCCCCCCATGGATTCACAAAAGAAGGTCTTATTTCAGGATCTGGGTTTCTTCTGTTTTACAGTTCCGAGTTTTCTTTTTCGATTTCATTATATGGGCATTGATCTGATTTGTATTTCCTTGCTGCTCTGTTTGATTCCTGCTTTGCTTTGCTTGGTCGAATGTGGTTTGTTTTCCTAGGCGTCGGTTGGTTAGGGAAAATGCACCAATCAAAACTGAATTCCAACCGTTAATGGCGTGGGAGAAGTTTTTAGACCTTCAAAGTTTATAAATTCATGATGCAGGAGCTGAGAATACTTGGATTTTTCCCAATTAAACCTATTTTTACCTTGCTCCTGTAAGGTTCATTGCTGAAGATATTTTTGTTGTTAACCAAAAATGCACTGGTGTTCTGTAAACCATCTTCTGGATCTAATTATTGAAGGACATTCAATCATATTATTTGCTTTTATTGTTCAATAATGGATCAAACAAATAAAAAGTTACTCCCCTATGTTTGTTGGTAAATATTCTCCTACATTTGTTTACAACTAATGGTGGTTGTTCTTTATGCAGGGCAATCTAGAAACAGAGTTTTTCACAGAATATGGAGAGGCAAGTCGCTACCAAGTTCAGGAAGTCATTGGGAAAGGAAGTTATGGTGTTGTGGGTTCTGCAATTGACACCCACACTGGAGAAAAGGTTGCAATCAAGAAAATTAATGATGTTTTTGAGCATGTGTCCGATGCTACAAGGATCCTGAGAGAAATAAAGCTCCTTCGCTTGCTTCGTCATCCCGACATTGTTGAAATAAAGCACATAATGCTTCCTCCTTCTCGACGAGAGTTCAGAGATATCTATGTTGTTTTTGAGTTGATGGAATCTGACCTTCACCAAGTTATTAAGGCAAATGATGATCTTACTCCTGAGCATTATCAGTTTTTCTTGTACCAGCTGCTTCGTGGCCTAAAGTATATTCATACAGGTTGGTCTTTTTCGGTAATTCTTTTGGCCTTTGCAGTTGTAATGATAATTAATTTTATCTCTGCACTTCTTGCAGCAAATGTATTTCATCGAGATTTAAAGCCAAAAAACATTCTTGCTAATGCTGACTGCAAATTAAAGATATGTGACTTTGGGCTTGCTCGCGTATCTTTCAATGATGCCCCATCAGCTATTTTTTGGACAGTAAGTTGTTCTGTCATGCAAATCATGGCATGTCACCACACAACTCCTAAAATCTTTACTTTGTATGGTTGTTAATCAAAAGTCGCTAATTTGCTTTATTTTTTGAACCAAAGTTATTTTAAGTTGCAAATACTGGGGCTATAAACAACACTACTTGTGCACTAAGATTTTTTACTTTTATGAAGGACTATGTTGCAACTCGATGGTATCGTGCTCCTGAGCTATGTGGTTCGTTTTTCTCAAAAGTAAGCTACAGTTACATTTTAAAGATCTTATATTGTATTATGCATTTTTTGTTTTGTTTTGCATTTTACTGAGATAGCTAATGGTATATGCATAATAATAGATGATTTTATTTTGACCTGTGGTCTTGAAAAGCCACATATTCTGGCACTGCTAATTCAGCCTATTGTTTTGGTTTATGCTAAAAGAGTTACATTGAGCAGGTTACCAGCCATGCGCTCAGATAAAGAATTATGTGGATTCTAAACCCTTTAGAGAAATTGTTGTTAATTCTTCATTATGGGCTTTCACTGTCTCTATCTGAATGTTATAAGTTGTTATGGTTGTTTATTGCAACTCTATGGGAGGTTTTCTAATTTCTATGACCAATATTTTGGCAGTACACTCCTGCAATCGATATTTGGAGCATAGGATGCATATTTGCTGAAATACTCACTGGAAAACCGTTGTTTCCTGGGAAAAATGTGGTGCACCAATTGGATCTCATGACTGATTTGCTTGGCACACCTTCTACAGAATCCATTGCAAGGGTTAGTTATTTTATTCTAATAACTGCAGTTCTGTCATAAAAATGCTCTTAGCAGGCTGCCACAAAACTTCTCAATTTTCTTCGCTCTTACAATTCTTGTAGTAAACCATTTTCTATATTGTTACATGTAACCGCCAAATGCATGGTTTTATCTTTTATGTTAAGCTTGCTTACAGGTACCATTCTAGTACTCTTTATCCTTCAAATAATTTATTTTCTCATGAACGTGGTAGATTCGGAATGAAAAAGCAAGAAGGTACTTGAGTAGCATGCGGAAAAAGCAACCAGTTCCTTTCACACATAAGTTCCCTCATGCAGATCCCTTGGCTCTTCGCCTAGTAGAACAACTGCTTGCATTTGACCCGAAAGATCGTCCGACAGCTGAAGAGGTAAGGCTAAGTAATTTTAATACATACCACCAACATAGTTGGATACAATACTGCATCCTTCAAAATTGCTTGGGACCACTGTACTTCCTAAATCCCTAATACTTATGCTTGCAGGCATTAGCTGATCCGTACTTTCATGGTTTGGCAAATGTTGACCGTGAGCCATCCACTCAACCCATTTCAAAACTTGAATTTGAGTTTGAGCGAAGGAAATTGACAAAAGATGATGTTAGAGAGTTAATCTATAGGGAGGTATGAGTTTGGTTTTCAAAACTTGTTACTTTCTAGCATTGTGGTTTTTTCCTCTTCACTAATGCTATAACGAATCTTGGGTTCAAACAGATTTTAGAGTATCATCCGCAGATGCTGCAGGAGTATCTCCGAGGTGGAGATCAAACTAGCTTTATGTATCCTAGGTGAGGAGGCTATTGGTTTTCTGAAATAATGAATGATTCTGCTGACTATTCAATCAGTTGAACCTCAATGCATGTGGAGGTTATTGGAAAGGGGACGGCCACTCCCTGTTATGTGTTCCAGCCATTGGACCGAAACCAAAAACAAAAACAAAAACAAAAACCATCTTGAGTTTATTTAGCATGCAGATAAGTCTTGAGTTTGAAATTTTTGGTGCTTGGAGTTATTAACCTAGTTTCATCTCTTTATGTCATGTTAGTGGGGTTGATCGATTCAAGCGGCAGTTTGCACATCTTGAGGAACACTATGGTAAAGGTGAAAGGGGTACTCCACCACTCCAAAGGCAGCATGCCTCATTGCCCAGGTGTGTTTTGGATAAGCATCTAGGAATGTAGTTTAATTCAGCTATGTCTGAAGGAGCAGATCAAATTGCTTCTAACTTGTACCTTATACACAACAGTCCATCCATCCATCCACCCACACACCCCCCCCATCCTCTTTAGCATACCAGATCTTTTTATCTCATTTTCTTTATTTATGTAACAAGCTGGTCTAAGATTGTGGGCTGCTAGCAAAGCCTGAGTTGACCGTGTGATGTTTATTAGTTCATCTTAATCACCATGTCATCTTATTCCTCAGAGAGCGGGTGTGTGCACCCAAGGATGAGAATTCTGGCCAAAACAATGATGTGGAAAGGACTGCTGCTTCTGTTGCCTCAACTCTTGAGAGTCCTCCAGGGTCGCAGCAGCCTGATGGCTCTGTAAATGCAGATGGACAAAATGGACCTAGCAAGACAAACCACAACGCTCGTAGCCTGTTGAAGAGTGCCAGCATTAGTGCTTCGAAGTGTATAGGTGTAAGACCGAAAAAAGATTCGGAGGTAATTAGCATCATTTGTACCTCATTTCCTCTTGTTTGATCATGACAAGCAATCTTGCACATAATTTGGTGATAGATCTCCATCACAGTTAGAAAAAGGACACCAATTCTCTCAAAAATAAAATGTGACAAATGAAGTGGCATTCTATTTGATCCTTATGCCTCTTGGTCATTGCAGGATTAGTTGTTGGATATCCCCTTTTTCCTTTGGAAATAATGTGATTTCTTTTTCTTTTACTTTATGTGTTTCCACAGGAGGAAGCTATTGCTGAGGTCAACGACGAGGCAGTCGATGGTTTGTCCCAAAAGGTTGAAGCTCTCCGTGCCTGATTCCCCGATCTGTAGTAGAAAAAACAAAAACAAAAACAAACAAACAGGTGTAACTTTGTGTTCTGCCTCCTTTCCCCCTATTTAGAAGAAAGGGTGCTCTGTAACAGTCCATATTCGAAGATATATAAGTTATTTCAGTTAGAAGCTAACATAATAGGACTCGTTCATTCATTTTTCCTTCATTATGTCACCACCACAACGCAGAGGAAATTTCTCTGCTGTAAGTTGTAACTATTTCTGTTTGAAGAAGACGACATGTATTTTGTTCAATTGTTTAGTGATTGTGTGATACAATAGAAACAAGTTTTAGTTTGAAGAAAAATATGCATAATATATTTTTTAATTATTTACACAATGACAATACCTATTTTGATATCTGAATATCAATTTAACTCGAGCACATGTACGTGTGAGCGTGGCATGCCCTGAAAATGGGTAATGTCGTTTCTACCCTACTAGAGTATCATAGCTAGCAAGGACATTATTGACTTTTACGGTTTAGGGTGGAGGAAGAAACGGCTAAACAGCTTTTGGGTTGGGCCCTGAGGCTTTCTCGAATTCCACTTCCAGTCTTCCGACCCAGGACAACAAAACGACGGCGTCCTTTGCACCCAAAAGAGAGTGAATAAAAAGGAACGACGTCGTGCGAACCGAACTTTACAAGATATCAGGAAAACGAAAAAACAAAACACAAAAAAAAGGAAAAAAATTACAGAAAAACCTCTGGACAAACCGCCTGAAGCAAAGTAAGCTCAATAGCCTCTGAAACTCAGATTTGTACAAAAGAACACAATTGGTTTAAGACTGGTCATCCCAGAGTTTGCATTTTTACACAGAGGATGCCATGATTTCATTAGCTACCAAAAATATCTAGGCATCCTTCATACTTATTCTTTTTGTTTTTCCCTCTACCTCTGCTTCACTTGTGGTTTTCAGAGGCAAAAATAGCCAGCTCCTTCCTACCAATCACTTCATCTGTTCATCACCACAACGTATCTTACCTCTAACTTTCTCGTAGCACTCTGGTTCCTGATCACTTAACTTCATCTTGACTTTCTCTTAACTTCACCTGTTAATCACTTCACTGTGGCGAAGACCAGCAAGTTTCTTTTGCACACACTGATGTGCATGAATTCATCTACACTCACCAATAATCCCCGCATGAACAATTACCGCCGCTGAAGTGGTGAAAACGGTGAGAATCCCTTAGGATTACTGTCCTTCCCACAATCTTGGATATGTATTTAATGGCATTGTGGCAGTCTCCACAAACTCGCAAGTTTTTTATTACACGGATTGGCCTCCCAGCTGGGATTGAAAGAATTCCAAATGCCACAGCTAATTTCTCACTGTGATACTTCAGCATATGCTCTTTCTCTTCCTCTTCCACGTCATGTAAAACCAACTTTGTGGAGGAAATGTATCCCTCCCGCTTCATTTTCAAATCCAACTCTTCTAAGAAGGCATATATCTTGTCCTTATCTGGGTGTATAGAGTCCCCAACTGAAAATGTATGAATCTTGTTTTGCACTTCAACCCAGCTATATCCAGGAACTTTCCTGACACCTTTATCCTTCATCTTCAATCTCATCTTACCAACTTCACCCCATCTGCCAGAAGCTGCATATAAATTTGACAAAAGAACATACATTCCTGCATTTTCAGGCTCCATCTCGAAAATTATCTGAGCAGCCTTTTCACCTAATTCGGTATTGCCGTGAATCCGGCTTGCACCAAGTAGAGCTCCCCATGTTGCAGCATCTGGTTCAAAAGGCATATCTCTCATTAAATTCTGTGCTTCCTCCAGGCGCCCAGCTCTACCCAAAAGATCAATCATGCAGGTATAGTGTTTTGAATTTGCTGTTATGCCGTAATCCTGATTCATTGAATAGAAATATTCCGTGCCCCTGTCTACAAGGCCAGTATGACTACAAGCAGATAATACACCAACCTGAAATGAAATGAAAACCAAATTAATCATTAGACATAGAGACGAAATGCACATGAAAAGAGATTATCTACTTTGAACAGAAAATATAATTCTTTCCAGTTGCATAACAATAAAGCCAAGGGTTTTTTTTCCTTCCAGTTTTAATATGCGTTGATCAATTGCAGCAATGTTAAACGGCTTTGAGAACCAGGGTTGTGTTAGGTTAAGCTTTTGAGAGTAATTTAAGAAGAAATAAATGCATTAATTTGCTATTAAAAAAAAAAAGAAGATAAATGTGGTGAAATTTTTTTCTCCTAAATATGACCAAAAAAACTTTAAATGAATGAATAATTACCATTGTTACATCATCTGGTTTGATACCTGCTGCCTTCATTGACTCAAAAACCATCAGAGCCTTTGAGCCAAATCCATGCCTTGCATAGCCATAGATCATCGTGTTCCATGAGACAACATCCTTTTCAGCTATTCCTTGGAACACATCATATGCTTCCTCAATGCTTCCACACTTACAGTACATTACAAGGAGTGCATTCCCCACATAGCACCCAGTTTCGTATCCTGCTTTTGTCATTCGCCCATGCAACTGCTTCCCCAATTCCAACGCAGCGATTTCAGCACATGTGCTCAAAGCACAGGTAAACGAAGACCTAGTCAACCTTTCCCCATCTCTTTTCATCTCTACAAATAGACACAAAGCCTCTTCACTATAACCATTTTGAGCATAACCAGCAATAATAGCTGCCCAAGAGATGGAATCACGCCGAGGCATGCTATCAAAGATTTTCCTGGCACTATCAATATCACCACTCTGAGCATAGCCAGTTAAAATGGTATTCCAAGAACTGGCATTCCGAAAAGGCATTGCCTCAAATAATTTCATTGCCATGTCCATTCTCTTGCATTGTACATATCCTGCAATCATTGCATTCCATGAAACCGAATTCTTTTCTGGCATTTCATCAAACATTCTCCTCCCTTCATCCAACATTCCATTCTGCACATAACCCGAAAGCATTGATGTCCATGCAAACACATCACGAATTGGGGACTCCCCAAACAATCTCCTTGCTTCTGACATTTCCCCATTCTGCGCATAGCCTGTGATCATGGTATTCCACGAAACTTCATCCCTCACAGGCATCCGGTCAAAAATCTGCCTAGCATGAACTAATCTCTTTTGTTTTACAAATCCACCCATCAAACAATTCCAAGAAACTGCTTCCCAATTGGCTTTCGACTCAAACAGCCTACGAGCATCTTCTATCCTTCCATTCTGTACATATGCCGCAAGCAACCCATTCCATGATATCTCATTCTTATCCGGCATCCTCTCGAAAACCTTCCTCGCCTCATCAACATAGCCATTCTGGGCATAACCCGATAACATAGCGTTCCACGAAACAACATCCTTTTCAGGCATACGTTCAAATAAGGCATGAGCGGCACCAAGGTCTCTATTCCTCACATACCCACTAAGCATCACATTCCAAGAAACTAGGTCTCTCACTGGCATTTTCTCAAACATATCCTTTGCAAGATCAAACTTGCCATTTGCCAGGTAGCCAGATATCATAGCATTATAAGATACTGGGCTCCGCCGAGGCATGACATTAAAGACGCGTAAAGCAGCTTCGCATCGGCCATTGCGCATTTGGGTGGTAATGTCCTTGTTCAATTTGACAATTTCAGAGTCAGAGGCGTTTGATAACTTATTCATGGATCTGCGTTTCTGGGTTAGTGTTTTCTTTGATGGGATTGGGTTTGGGCAAGTCGGATTTCCAGTTTGGTGCTTGATGTTGCTGGGTTGCCGGGTTTCGAGTGAGCGTAAGCTGAAGCTGCTGCTGTGTAACTGTCTGAAACGGTAACTCCCGCGCATTGTTTTCCCTCAAATTTTGCTTCTCCTCAGCAGCATGCAACACGCCGAAGCTCAATTTGATTGGATTTGCCCACAAATTATGGGTCCTTGGTGATTTGGGCCTCCTCTTTAATTGTGTTGTTAGTTGGTTTGACTTCCCTTCTAAGATTCTACTTGGTCCACTAATAACAACTTGTAAGTTGTAAGCCTTCGTGCTACAACAGAACCATGAATCACCAACCTTGATGAAAATGGCATTCAAAATATAAATAATAATAAATATAATTAAATAAGGCTAAGATATTACTTAATTACAACTATTAAACTAAACAAACTGAAAAATAAAGTCCACAAAATAATTTAAAATAATTAATTACAATTTATTAATTAATTTAATAATTATTAAAATATTTGAATACTATTTATTCACTAAAGAAATAATAATTAAAGTGATTAAAAAAGGCTTACTTAATTACAGAAAAGAAAACCATGTTGTGCAGTATAGCCGAGCGGCTATAATGTTAAAACATTCGTATCTCGGCTATACTCTTCAAATATTAATATATTTTACAAGTACAGCCGCACGGCTATACTATTTTAAATATCAAATATATTTTAGCCGTATAGCCGTTCGGCTATACGCTTATTTTAGTCGTATCGCCGTTCGGCTATACTATTTTAATATTAATATATTTTAACAGTATAGCCGATCGGCTATAACATTAAAATATTTGTGTATACATTTAACGAGTACAGCCGCGCGTCGATTCTTTAAACATTAATATATTTAAGCCGTACAGCCGTGCGGCTATACTATTTTAAATGTTAATATGTTTTAGAAGAACAGCCGATCGGCTAGACTATTTTAATATTAATATATTTTAACAGTATAGCCGCACGGCGATATGCTTAGGGTACACCCGAGCGGCTATATGCTTTAAATATTAATATATTTTAGAAGTATAGCCGCACGGCGATACTGTTAAAATATTCGAATATGCTAGAAGAGTATAGCCGGCCGGCTATACGATTTAAATATTAATGTATATTCCTGATCTAACAAAAGGTTCTATATAAGGTATAACTTGATGGATGCATTTGCTACAATGCTACAAATTCCACCAAATATGTTAATCCCCTTCACTCCCGCAACAAAAGGTGCCATTTCCTCATCTTTGAGTGCAATCTATGGGTAGAGAAACACAAATAAAATGTAAGGTTCATTTTCAAGAAAATGTGGCACTCAGAAAAATTGGTTCTTAAGGAATTAATTCCTTTAAAAAGCAGTAGGGTATAGTCATTTCTGTGTGTAGTATCTCCCTCCAAATCAAGAGAGCTAAAGCTGGAGGAGATGAGCTAACCTAAGTTTGCAGTAAGTGAAATAATGAAATCATCTGGTTCTTCCGCACACTGGTCTTCCATGTATTCCCTGTTTGTCATTCTTATGATGTTATTCTTATCGCAAGACAATTCTAACAGGTATCGCTCTCAAAT